GTGGAATGGACGGGCGATCTTCGGTTCCACTCCAGACATGATCATCGAGTCGGATGCAAGCTTACATGGCTGGGGCGCGCGCTGCGGCTCCATATCCACAGGAGGCAGGTGGTCAGTAAACAAATCATTCCTGCACATAAACTCACTGGAACTACTGGCGGCCTCATTTGCCATTCGCAGCCTCACACCCAAGGGCGTCTCATGCTCGATCCTCCTCAAGTTAGACAACATCTCGGCAGTCAGGTACATAAATCATCTTGGAGGTACCAAGTCACGCATCCTAGCGGTTTTGGCTCGAGACTTCTGGCATTACTGTTTACAAAACAACGTGTCGGTGACCGCAGAACACATACCAGGCCTGGACAATTACACCGCAGACTGGAACTCCCGATATCTGAGGGATTTAGGAGACTGGAAGCTTCAACCGAAAGTCTTCGCCAGGATAGCTCGACTATGGGGTCCCTTGAGTGTGGACCTCTTTGCATCCAGACTGAACACTCAACTTCCTCAATTTTTCAGCTGGCGACCGGACCCGGAAGCCTTGGCGACAGATGCCTTCCTTCAGGACTGGACCGGGGGACGAGCATACGCCTTTCCCCCGTTCAACCTGATCGCTCGGACTCTAACATACATTCGACGCTACAGAACCTCGTTGGTCTTGATAACTCCGTGCTGGAGATGCCAACCCTGGTTCCCTCACCTTCTGGAAATGGCGACCGACTTCCCACGGTTGCTACCGGATCAAACGTCCCTGTTAACAAACCCGGATGGGGAGAATCACGACTTGATAGAACGGGGAATCCTCCGACTCATGGCATGGCTCCTTTCCGGGGACCCTGGGAAATCGCGGAAGTTTCGGGAACAACTACCCAACTCTTGGCGAACGCCTGGGCACCGGGAACACGGCGCGCATATGCTACGGCATGGAGAACTTGGTCCGATTGGTGCCTGGAAAGATCAGTGGATCCCATATCAGCTTCTGTAAAGACGGTACTGGACTTCCTCACTCAATTGTTCGAATCGGGCAAGGCATTCCGTACAGTCAACATCTACAGGTCTGCTATCTCAGCAGGCCATGATACGGTGGACGGGATTCCTCTCGGTCAGAACCCCCTGATATGTCGCTTACTCAAGGGTATACGTTTTTCACGGCCACCTAAACCCAGGTACGGATCCTTTTGGGATGTCAACATAGTGTTCAAATTCCTGGAAGACTGGCCCGACAACGCGGCACTGTCAATCAAACAGTTGTCCGCTAAACTACTCATGATTTTATGTTTATTATCCTGTAAACGGGTATCGGATGTAAGGGCTTTGGACTGGCTAGCCCGATCATTCACTCCAGAAGGGGTGTCTTTCGATATTTCAAGAAGAACTAAATCAGCGACTAAACAAGTTTTCTATCCACACCTCCCGCACCAACCAAAGCTATGCCCAATTCTGTGCCTAAAAGAATACGAAACCCGTACTTCTGCCCTAAGACCGTCGAACTACGGCCCGTTGTTCATTTCACTAAAGAAACCGCATCTACCAGTGTCCACACCTACTCTCGCCCGTTGGGCCAAATGGTTATTGGCCTCGGCCGGGATAGACGTTACAATTTTTTCGGCCCATTCGGTCAGAGGCGCTATGGCTTCTAAAGCTTCGACGATAGGGTGCCGGTTAGAAGACATCCTTAAGGCCGCAGACTGGTCTACGGAATCCACATTCCGGAATTTTTATTTTAAACCAATCCAACATTTTTCGGAAAGAGTCATTGCTCAGCTTTGAAAGAGCATAATAGGAGCCTCCGTGTCTTTAATAAAATTCCTAGATTTTACTATTAACATGACGTAAAGTCATGATTTTATTAAAGACACGGAGGCGAGTATTATTCCCTCCCACCCTCCCTGGGTGGAGGGATTGGTTTTTTCTCACGGATACCAACCACAGATCAGGTGGACTCCTACTATGTAGATACCTGTAGGTGCGCTCATACGTCTCTCAGGTAGGTGACTTTGTGATATAGTAGACATAATCTTATATTACCTTTTGATATGTCGACATGACTACTACTTTATACGACTTAGTTTTTTACCTACATGAAGTTACATGATGCAACCAGTTGCCGACCATATATTACCATATTTTCTCCTCTCTTTTAGCCTGAATCATACGGTCAAAGTGGTGATTTTCCGTTACAAAACGTTACAGTTTAACCTCAAGGATTGGACATTACCTTTCGCCCACTGTTCCTGTTCGGGCCAAGTTACAGTTCGGTTATGGATCTGGTCTTCGGATCACGGAAGAAAGAGGAAGAAGCATGGAGTGCTACACCTTATATACTAAGGGGGTGGATACCTATGAGCACTGTTCCATATGCTAATGTTATTGTTATTTTTTTCTCTCATTTGCATATATCTCTCTTCGCTGCTGAGGGAGAATTAAAGAAAGAGAAGCATAATACTCGCCTCCGTGTCTTTAATAAAATCATGACTTTACGTCATGTTAATAGTAAAATCTAGGAATTTCGCTATTATCACAGATATGGCAATGTTTTGACCTGGGCTTTATAAAGTCACACGGTATATGTCTGTATATGTTTGGTGTGGTGTAGTTTCATTGGGGCGGTTACCCCATTTTAATCTGTACCCTAATACCGGAAGAGATGATGAGTATGAGACTCCATATAGGCTACATGTGTTTCCCTAGAGGCAGAGCATGATGGGAGTTGTGATTCACAGACATCTGTAACAGCGAGGATAGCCATACTTTACCACAGCACATACTGTGTAGGCAATCCTCTCATATGTCCATTTTCAAAAGCCATAGATTGCAGCTGCTTGAAAAGGAAGTCTACGTACCATAACTACTACATGCCATTGTCAGCTGAATTTGTTTGTATTTTTGTACCAAATTGACATTGGGCTGGTGAGATCAGCCGGGTAGGGTGAGTGGTATGTAGGGACTATGGAGCACACAGTCTTGCACAGCACAATGCTTTATGGTTCCCAGGTCTACTGAGGAGAACAGGATGGGACACTACCACCATAATGCCATAATTCCTCTCAACATGTCCAGCCTGCAATGTGCAATGTGTATCACAGAGCTCCACAGCAAAAATGCAACACAGCAATGCACACAGTCTATGGATGTATCACAGAGCTCCACAGCAATGTGCAATGTGTATTGGAGAGCTCTGCAGCAAAATCCCACAGCAATGCACAGAGTCTATGAAATTTTACATTTGTGTATTTTTAATACCTGTCTCTCTTTTACCTTACTTTAATTGTTTCATTATCATTGATGTGCCTTTCTTGTAACATGCTCTCTTCTCTTCCATCTTTTTTTATTTTTTTTTATTCTTTATTGTTGTCGTGCAGGTGATTACAAAGCATAGTCATACGCTACAATAGTGTGCTTTTGTATTTAAACATAGGCTAAACAGTGGCATGAAGGGTTTGCACATTTTTGTTTTAAAAGAAACATAGTTAGCCAGGCAAATATGTCCAATCCAGTATAAATTATTTGCATTAACTGCAATGGGTTATCAACAATAGCTTCGTCATGATGCCACAACACCGTATTCATACAGTTGCATGCAGAATAGGTAGTGGCATGTATTTTTGCACATTTTTATGTAAGTTAACAAGCTTAACCTCATGAGTAGTCGGTAAAGTTCATGAGAGCCTATTAATTATGCTTATGGCGCAGAAAGACAATACAGGTTAAGTCAGTTGCATTACAGGCTGAGATAAACAATAAAAACATAAGCAAATTAAATTATAACCGGTGGAACATACACAATAAATCGCTGTGTTGCTGTAAGTTACGGCTGTCTAACCTTGCCTCCATTTTATAGATAGGGGGGGTCAATCAGCAGTATAGTGTTAGTCAGGGCATATACATAAGGGGGTTAGTTGCGTTTAGTATCTGACTTTGCTGTGGGAGAGTTCTGCGTGCCCTACTTCCATCTTAACATTAATTGGTTGTCACTGGAGAGACAATTACATAAAATTAACGATTATAACATTTGAGCAATTAAGCCTCTTCTATGCGTGAATAGATACATAGGCATGCGCAGCCTATTGCACAAGCACACGCCGCGTATATATATATATATATGTATGTATGTATATATATATATATATATATATATATACACATATATACACACACATACACTGCTGTGTGTGTGTGTGCTGTGTGAGGGTGCTGGTAGTGTGATGTGTGTGAGGGTGCTGTTTGTGTGTGAGGGTACTGGTAGTGTGCTGTGTGCGTACACAGCACCAACACACATACAGCACCCACACACATGCAGCACCTACACACATACAGCACCCACACACATACAGCACCCACACACATACACAGCACCAACACACATACAGCACCCACAGACATACACAGCACCTACACACATACAGCACCCACAGACATACACAGCATCAACACACATACAGCACCCACAGACATACAGAGCACCTACACACATACAGCACCCACAGACATACACAGCACCAACACACATACAGCACCAACACACATACAGCACCCACAGACATACACAGCACCCACAGACATACACAGCACCCACACTCATACAGCACCCACACTCATACAGCACCCACACACATACGGCACCCACACACATACACAGCACCAACACACATACAGCACCCACAGACATACACAGCACCTACACACATACAGCACCCACACACATACAGCACCCACACACATACAGCACCCACAGACATACAGCACCCAAACACATACAGCACCCAACACACACAGCACTACACAGCACCAACACACATACAGCACCCACACACATACAGCACCCACAGACATACACAGCACCTACACACATACAGCACCCACACACATACAGCACACCACACACATACAGCACCCACAGACATACACAGCACCTACACACATACAGCACCCACACACATACAGCACACAGCACACACATACAGCACCCACACACATACACAGCACCAACACACATACAGCACCCACACACATACAGCACCCACAGACATACACAGCACCCACACACATACACAGCACCAACACACATACAGCACCCACAGACATACACAGCACCTACACACATACAGCACCCACAGACATACACAGCACCTATACACATACAGCACCCACAGACATACACAGCACCTATACACATACAGCACCCACACGCATACACAGCACCCACAGACATACACAGCACCAACACACATACAGCATAGGATAGCGCCGGCTCTGCATGAGCCAACAGGGTCTCCCCTGCCAGTCTCACTCCATAGGCATGCCACGGGGATTAGGGTGTGCCCAGGCACACTCGGCACACCCCGTGCGCACACCTATGAATAGATACATTGCTGGGTTTGCATTTATGAGTAATAGCGAGGCCTGGCATGGGAGACGTAATACCCAGCTAAAATAGTGTGTGAGTAATGTGAGAAAAAGTGGTGAGAAAAGCAAAAGCTTGTGTTAGCAAAAACATTTAAACATCAACTGATAATACAAAGAAATACGTATCACAGCCATGCATCACTGGTAATGAAGGAGGAGTGATCTGTCATGGCAGCCAGCCTGGTGTGCCAGCACAGTCGTGCAGTCAGTCAACCTATACCCCTGCTGGGCTGTGAGCTTCCATGCAAAGACAGTTTATGTAGGGCTGCCAGTGGTCTGTCCGGCGACTGGTGCAGTGTAGTCGCTATTTGCTGGTGCGTGCTGATTCGTAGCGATAGTTCCTGGAGGCCAAGTGTCCCGTTTGCAGTTTCGTGCCGCATAGAGTGAGGGTCTGTAATGGAGCTTGGTAGGATCGGGTGCCCGGCTGCGGTTCCACTCTTGGGTACGGTTCCCCCCCGGCTCCTGACCCTTGGGAGGTCTTGTGCTGGTCGAGGAGTTGGGCCCTTCAGGTGGACGGGATGTAGTATAGGTGTGCTGCGGATGCGAGCAGCTCTGTGCCTCTGTGGTTCAGGTGATCCTCTTCCAACTTTAAATTCCATTTTTCTTTTTATCCAGTTGCTGGTAACAGATTATGATCCCTTTGTTCACATAGCTATTACAAATACAGGTTTTCTTAGTGTGCGTGTGTCCGCTCCATTAACAATTTGAGACTGATAGATTCATGTCTTCAATGGATGACTAGACTGATGGATTTCTCTGTGATACAATGCTCATCTTTCTAAAGCTGATCCGTGGTGTCATTGACTATTACGTAGCATACTATGATATATCTGCTTTGGTCTTTTGTAAAGAGGTCTTCGGTACAGATAAAACGTGCGCTTCCTATTGATCTTGATACTAAACTACCGGTTTTATTCCAATCACTGGCTTTAGGATTCCATTATCAAACTCTATCTGTCAAAGAGATTGATAGCATCCAAACAATGACTGTTACTCTACGAAGAATTAAATGTTATATTTTTTTAGAATAAATATATACAAATTTTTAAATCTGAAACTTGGCTTGTTTTATTTTTGTGGAAAGTTCGTATTGCCTTTCCATATTTCTTATTAAAATTTACACATGTTCAAGTATTGGTTCTAAAAATGCTGTTTCTATTCTCTTACGGCAACTTAAAACAGCTCATCAGGATACATGCGGTAACTTTAATTTACATATTCATGACGCTAAGTAACCATAATCCCTGAGATTGCATGGCGTTCACTTGCTACACAAATCCCTCTCCAACAAAATAGTTTTTCGTTTAGAATCCCCCCAGTTAATTGGCATCAAATGTTATTGAAATTTAAAATGTTTCAGCTTTAGTTGATCCCTAAGACTCTTGTGCCAACAACATGCAATAATGACACCCTTAGCTAACCAGCATTCCATATAATATTCATACAATGCATTTACTGTTCCTAATACTATTTTATTTTAGAAAATGTAAAAATGTACACAGTGTTAACATATGTCTACAGGCTGAACCAGAATTCAAACACAGTTGTTTTTTAATATCAAAATATTAATGAGTTACACATGCACCTAGGAAAGACAAGCCTAAAAATAATTAATTAAAGGGACACTTCACACCCCTAAAACACTTAAGTTTGCTGAAGTACTTTATGTATTAGAGTGTGTCCACTTTTTTCATCTTGCAAAAAGTGTATATTCCAATAGAAATTGGTACCTTTCAAAATTAACCCAATTACACCCCTCCCCCCTCACTGTCAATCATATAACAAGCCATGTGACTTCCTGGTTGTTAGCTCAGATGTTATTGATAATGCAATGTGAATACAATATACATACGGAACAGATGTTGGGGTCATGTGGAAGTATGAATTTATTAAAGATATCCAAGTTACGTCATACATTCAAAGAGACAAAGACACAGAAAACAGATACAACCACAAAAAAGTGCAACTCTATGATTCATGAATATGTCATGCCATTCCAGAAATAGAACTGAGCAATAAGTCCATCTGATGACAATTAAAAGGAATACTGGAATGACAGAATACATGTCACGAATGTGGGTAATTTATAGAAAATGTATCTATGTGCAGGACAGAAAATTGAGTTATGAAGGTAGTGTTCAAAAATGATACAATTACAAAGGTAGAGTTCTTAACCAAACTATGGCCTCGATTTAATAAGCTTTCCAAATGATTCCATATTGTTAATAAAAACGTTCCAAATGATTTATCTACAGAAGTCACTCTCCATTAATTTTTGTGGGTATTATTTTAGATAAACGTTTGGTAAAGTCATTGAGTCATTTGGAAGGCTTGTTAAATCAAGGCCAGTGAAAGAAGGCTGGAGTAAGTAATATAGGAAGAGAATTTAAGTATCATATCACAATCTCACTTCAAGGTCTTTTGTAACCTTTGATCATTTAGATTCATCAGAAAACGTTCTTCAGGGTTTTATCCACTAAATTCCAAATCACAACGAACTGGAATCTAAATTGCAAAATTAATGCTGAAAAAACACAAACTAGGATTAGAAGCAAGTGCAAATTTTTTTTAAGGCTAAACTATTTCTACCTCAATTTTACAATTAGAATTCTAACTCCGTTCAATTCAAAGCTTAGTAAACAAATCTATTGATAGCTTATCTTGTGAAGTGTTTGTCATTTGGCCCTTCTTGTATCTACTGGTTTGTAGGATGTTCAGAAAGAATCTCATCAGCCATTTAGTTCCTTGAGTCAACACACTAGTGTTTTATTTTTTAATGATTCTTCATGTGTTCCGATCTTTGATCTGTCACCAAATTTAATTGCAAAAAATGAAAAAGAAACTGAATCGCAAGAACAACAACAAAGAAACGATCTGAGAGCTTCTATTTCAGTGACTGATCACTCGCTACTCTCAGAGAACCAGAAAACATCCATATTTTGACATTTTCTCCAATTATAACCTAGAGAGACTTTAAGAAGAGGATGCACTATTTTTCTCTCTTTTTTTAAAATCTATGACAACATCTAAAGATGAGGACTTTGTGGAAACAAGATAAACTTAATTTTTGTTCTTTTAATAATTTTCTTCTTTTTTTTTAAACTATATATTTAGGAATAAGAAAATAGGTGAATTTATGTTACACCAATTACTAACTCAGAATTCCTGAATTCATCGAAATTATGAAATAAAGAAAGACAGGAACACCACGTAGCTAAGCAGTTCAGGTAACTAATATTTCTCACTCTCTCAAATAGGTTAAGAAACTAGTGAATTGGAAAGATAATGCCCCCCCTTTATAGTGATGATTGCCGCACTAGATGAGCGTTCTCCAATCTAGCACAATTCACAGAGGAATGACATTAAGTGGGCCTTGTTCTCTTGAAGATTTACCATATTCAAAGCCTTGCAATATGTGGTAAAGCATAAAATATGACGCTGACATATGTCATATGTATTAATCCAAGCAGTCAAACACTGACACTACAATAAACACAGCACTGCATTCAAATGCCAACATTAAACAAAAACACGCCCCTGTGCTGAAACGCCAACATGGTACACAAAAACAGTCTTGTGTGAAAACACAATCACTACACAAAGTCAAACCTCTGCATTCAAATACTAACACCACCAAAACACACCCGTGCATTAAAACTCCAATACACACAAATACGTCCCTGCGTTCTAACATCACCTTTATACACAAAAACACAAACATACACATAGAGTATACACACACCATAGATAAACACCCTTACATTTATACAGCGACACTGCACACACATACAACACTGCATGAGCAAATGGTAGCACTTCAAATGCCAAAGCATCGTCAGAGATGTACGTGACTTGAGGGCCCAAAATGGTTTTTTTTCTGCATCAGGGTCCTCGCTACATTAGTACTGCCATTGAATCCAAGCGAATCATAGGTTCACTGGTGACACTCTCATTGCAGGGCTTGAAATTTGCACAATTCATTAACTCTCAAGAATCTTGAAAAATTGTTGAGATTGAAAAGTTTATATTTAAAATTTGCAATTTAATATGACCTGATCAATTTTAAGCCCAGTTTTAATTACCCAATTAGTGATATGCTTTTTTCCAGGCTTGTCAAATATCCAAGCTACAAATAAATCAACACGCGGTTTCCTTAAATGTGCTCCCTGTAAAAAGACAAGGATATCAATATATCATATCATAAATATTTGACAAAGTTCAACACCACAAAGCAATTAAAATTCACCTATCTGCAGCCTATTGCAATATTCATATTTGAAAAAAACACTTGGTTTGTGTGAATTGATTCGGCTTAAGAAATTTTTTGTTTTTGGCAAATTTGTTTTGACCATGTGTTGTTTTGGTTTCAGGCGCTTTCAGTCTGACCGTTGGCTTGAAAATTGATGAGGACTTTATTCTTCCATTAAGAAATAGGCAGAGCAAAAATAATTTGTAATTATTTTAAAGGGTCATATCACCTTTAGCTGTTCCAGTTCTGTTAGATATTTTACGAATTGTGCAGCTCGTTGATACTCAAAAAAAATCAATTAGTGGAATGCATATTACATATTGACACTTTACAACTGCCTGACATTAAATAATAGTTTTCGGAGTCATTATGCTGGTAAAGCTTGGGAAAAAAAAGTAAACCAATGACATTTCAAAAATCCCTCGATAATTAGCCTTATGGATGCGCTCAATCAAAATCCCACCGCAACAGTCACAGTTCTAGCTCTCACAGAACACGTAAGACATCATCAGTTACATCAGTATTAACCTTATATGTGTATGTCAGTAGTTCAGTCATGCTGTTCTATGTTCTACGACCT